TTTCCGACCCGGACAATTTTAGGGGTCTACAGTGGCTAGTAAACATAATTCTATGAGGTAAATACAACATCGAATCAATGAATGCATGGACATATGGCCAAACAAAAATGTCATGGTTAGCCCTTTGTTAAAAATTGGTTAGTCACATGCTATGGCTGGTTAAACACTAACCCATCACGGAATTGTTGCATTGGACCAATACACACACTCATGCAATGTTACCATTGGACTCTAAAGCGCTAGGTTTCAAACATCTATGTTTAACCCTTTGAGACAACATGGTTAATCACATGGTGCGGTTGGTAAAACACAACATTATGAGATGACAATTGCATTGGATTAATGCACACACTTATCAAGTGTCACCATTGGTGCACGAAAGTGACTAAATGCAATAAACAAAGTTGTTATGTTTTATATGAAGAATAAGTGGCTTTAACAACAAAAAAAATAACACAACTGTTAAGTCAGATGAAGCGCATTCGCAATTCCCACCAAGGTTTCAAATATGACAAATATAACACATATTGTTATTCCTAACATGTGTATTAGTATTTCAGATGGATAACAATAAGGTCAGGCAAAAATGAAGGACAAAGTATGATCAAGCATAATCGAATTGAACAAGACATCAGATGATAGCAAAGCTAGTATCAAGACTAAGGTTGATCCAAGACCAAATCAAAAACAAGATAAGAAGAATCTATCAGCTGAAGCCTAAGGGATCAGATGTAAGACCAAAATAGGCATCATATGAGACTAAGTCAAGAACGGGACGAAAGTTGGCCAAACATCAACATAGAGTTGAAAAATCATCAGACACTACAAGAATTTATGTTTTTAACTGGGGTTATTTAACTAAAAATAACACAACTGTTAAGTCAGATGAAGCGCATTCGCAATTCCCACCAAGGTTTCAAATATGACAAATATAACACATATTGTTATTCCTAACATGTGTATTAGTATTTCAGATGGATAACAATAAGGTCAGGCAAAAATGAAGGACAAAGTATGATCAAGCATAATCGAATTGAACAAGACATCAGATGATAGCAAAGCTAGTATCAAGACTAAGGTTGATCCAAGACCAAATCAAAAACAAGATAAGAAGAATCTATCAGCTGAAGCCTAAGGGATCAGATGTAAGACCAAAATAGGCATCATATGAGACTAAGTCAAGAACGGGACGAAAGTTGGCCAAACATCAACATAGAGTTGAAAAATCATCAGACACTACAAGAATTTATGTTTTTAACTGGGGTTATTTAACTGGAGTTATTATAACCCCTGGAAACATAAACACTTACGAGGGTTTTAATAACCCTTATTAAATTATAGGGGTTTGATTTCAAACCCCAGGAAAATGCCAAGTGTTTTTTAGAAACCCAATTAATTAAAATTTTAATTTTTTTATTTCCCTCCAATTATTTCCTTTCCCTCTTAATTTCTTGGAGTATACAGAGACTAATTTTTAGTTTTCTTTTTCTTTTTCACAAGCAAAAATTAAAATTGCAATTACGAGGCTTTTATTTGATAAGGAATTCGAGTTTGGTGAAGGGCTTGTCTGGATTTTTCTTTTTCATAACCCTAGACGCGCATCTTAAACCTTTCCTTGAGGCACTTCTTGCCCTTGAGATCGACGTCAAGCGTGTAGCGTGTAGCGCCTAGCATCTTGGGCCTTTCCATTTGTGCTGATGATGGCTTTCACAACCTGAAGGTAATTTTATTGGTTTGGGCTCTGATTGTGTTATGGTGGTTTTTTGTGGTTGGTGATGAATTTTTGAACGGTTTCAGGAGATTAGAATCGTGGAAATCGTGAAACCAGTTGGTTGGGTTTATATATCGTTGGCTGGATTCGATCGTCGGTGAGTCTGTTTTTCTATTTTGCAATGGAAGGGTTTGTTTGTTGAATGCTTTGCCATCTTGTTTTTTTGTGTCTTTCGCTTAATACTGTTTTTCTCATCATGGATTTTGTTGTAATTTTTAATAAATTTAAGATTGAGTACCTCGACTTGAGTGCAGGAAAAAATTATTCACAGGAACTAAAGGTGGGGCACGCCAAAGCTAGGACTGGAACTCACCAATAGTAGAGTATGTAAATGTGTTTGATTAAATACTCCCTTTTAATTTTTAATAGTATTAATTTTTTTTTTGAAAAGAATAAGATCCAAATAAGTATTAACGTTATATTCACTTACATCAATTTAAGAGTGATAGGCTGGAAACATAAGCAGCAGTTCAGAACTTTTATTGCCTTCTCTTCCTAAGCTTTTGCATGTATTTATAGAATTTATGAACAACCTTTCTGAGCTTCTGCTATCCTTTTGAACTTGTAGCTCGATAGAAGTCTTTATACTGGTCATTTATGGTTTTTTTGGTGAATACATTTGGTCACCTGATTCCTTAGATGAACTTCTTCATATTGAAAACCTCTTGCCTTTAGGAACACAATCCTAGAGACTCAGCCCTTTTACATTTACCTAGGTGCTCTGTCTCTTGTTTTCCCTTTTTTCTTCCTTTCTTTTGTGTTGTCCTTTTTTTATTGAACGTGAATGTCGAACAATCTTGTAGATAGCTTGTTTATAGGCTTGAAATTTGCATCATATTCAAGGAAAAAATGCTCTGGTTTTGCATGAATCTCTTGATTAGGAATGAGAAGAATGTTATGACTATTTAACTCTTATGATGTGAATGTATTTTGGTTCCTAATTCTTGAACTCCCTCAACTTTGACATCTTTATGGTATTTAATGTTTTAATACATTTGGATTTTGAATGATTGGTGGAATTAATATGATGAGAATATTGTTTTATAAGGTTTTGCTTTCTCATACATTGTTTATTGTTTTTATTTGTTATTATATATGAAATTTAATATAATGTGTGCTGCACTTCCAGGTTGCAATTTGCATCACTATAGTATGTAACCTTGCTTGGTCATGTTGCACCAGTGCATTGTGTCAAACATCTATGTTTAACCCTTTGAGACAACATGGTTAATCACATGGTGCGGTTGGTAAAACACAACATTATGAGATGACAATTGCATTGGATTAATGCACACACTTATCAAGTGTCACCATTGGTGCACGAAAGTGACTAAATGCAATAAACAAAGTTGTTATGTTTTATATGAAGAATAAGTGGCTTTAACAACAAAAAAAATAACACAACTGTTAAGTCAGATGAAGCGCATTCGCAATTCCCACCAAGGTTTCAAATATGACAAATATAACACATATTGTTATTCCTAACATGTGTATTAGTATTTCAGATGGATAACAATAAGGTCAGGCAAAAATGAAGGACAAAGTATGTATTTTTTGTTTTTTAGATAGCACAAATAAAATATGTTAAAAATGATACTTGGCAAAATTTAAGTCTAGCTTCATCTAGACTTGTTGAGCTTGAGGATGAATGGTTAATGATATTTTAGATTTCATTTTTACTCGGAAGATTAAATTTTTAATGCTTGTGCAATGATACCTGTGTGCTTTTTATAAATCAACGTTGAATTTGAATAATGAACAAAATAAATTAAATATGAACCTAATATGTAATTTATCTATAATAATAATAATCTCAATGTCTATAATACATAATAAACATAGCAATAATTTAGCATTATTCCTATCTTAGTGTTAGAGCTTGAATTGGACCAACATGAATCATTTTTCTTGTTCTCATTGAACTTTGAAGCCTTTTTCTAGCATGGCTCAATGCTTCTAGAGCCTTAAGGACACTCACGTTAATTGGTTTGGGATTACTAGTGGAATGTGATGCAGATGTCACGGTCATATATAGGAACTAATGCCAGAGCATCATCACAGAAATCTGCACGATAAAATTCTCTACCATTAATGATCTTTAGCTGGAAATCCTGAAACTTAGTCCCAAAATCCAAAATAAGTGTCTTGCTCAAACAAACACAATTTTAAAGCACCAATTATTCATCTAATAGAAATTTTCTCCTGAATTAAGAGAAAGTACTTTAGAAGATAAATCACAAAACAGTTAACAAATTCATAATTTGTCTCCTAGAGAAAATATTTTATATGTATGAAAATGTAAATATTTTTATACTATTATCCACTTATAGATGAATATATATATATATATATATATATATTATATTATATGTTTACTACTTTTTATAATAATTAAAGTAAATAATGCAAGCAACTATGAAGGATATGCGATTTTTACCCGGATAATGTAATTAACTTTTATAATAGTGTATACAAATATAAAAGGTTTTATAATAATTACAGTAACAACTATTTATATCACCAAAAGTGTAAAAGATTATATAATAACTATTTTAAAAGTCATATTAATGATATTTCTAATTAAATTAAGGTGTGAAAAATTGACACTGACAATGTATATAAATTAAGCTACCATAATTATCATAAAAATTATATAAAGATAATTTCTAATTATCAAAGATAAAACTCTTTATTTTGTGTACTGCGTGCAGATGTTAAATTACTATTTCCTTTATGCTTAATCATAGCCTCACAAACTTTATGAATGAATATGAATAGAGGTTCTGACAGTGAATTATTGCATCTTGGAATTTAGATTACACTTAACACATTCTAAGATAAGGAAAAAGCTTGTTGTTATTGTATCACGCATAAGATTATGCAACTTTATCTTTTTCAATGGAACAAAGAGTTATAAAATATGATTGTGTTTATATTCTAATTCTACTTTTTTTTTTAAACTTTTTTTTTATCTTTCTCTTTTAGTTAACATATAAATTATGTATGTATTCTGAGTTGTTACTTTTTTTTTTTAGCTTTCTCTTTTAGATATCGTATTTAATGGATAAGTCTTGGATTGACTTTCCACGAAATACACCTCAATATATGGAAGGATTGAATAAATTTTTGGACTTCGCATTTGCCAATAAGAGCGTTGATGGTAAGATAATATGCCCATGTTTGAAATGCAAGTTTAACAAATGGCAAACTCGGGAAGCAACATACGAGCACTTGATTTTGAAACCTTTTCCAAAAGGGTATACATTTTGGCTTCTCCATGGAGAGACTAGTTGTGTACAAAATATAGTTGAGACACCTACAATACCACAACAAAATGAAGATAGAGTTGTTGTTGATGATCCCATATGTGACATGGTTAATGACGCATTTGGGAATTTTGTCTATAACGACAATGTGGTTAATGATGAGGATATATGTCTTGAATCAAGCCAAATGATGTCCGATGAAATTAAAGAGTATTTGGAGTTAATGCATGATGGGCAACAAAGTTTGTATGAAGGATGTGATAAATATTCAAAGCTTTCCTTCTTGGTCAAGTTGTATCACATCAAGTGTCTATGTAGAATGAGTGACAAGGCAATGTCAATGATACTAGAGTTGTTAGCAGAAGCATTTGAGCATGCTAAAATCCCATGTTCTTTTTATGAAGCCAAGAAAATTATAAATAAGCTTGGCCTTCAGTACACCAAAATTGATGCTTGCCCAAATGATTGCATGTTATACTTTGGAGAAGACAAAGATAGAGAAAATTGTAAGAAATGCAAAGCTTCTAGATGGAAGAAAAAAAAGAAGGGCACAATTAGTGATGCTACTACTAATAAGCAAAAAAAGGTTCCTGCCAAAGTTTTAAGATATTTTCCTTTGAAGCCACGTTTACAGAGGATGTTTATGTCTTCTAAAATTGCTGAGCACATGCAATGGCATGCATCAGAAAGTACTTATGAAGGCATATTAAGGCATCCAAGAGATTCTGAAGCATGGAAGAACTTTAACTTAATGCATCGTGAATTTGCTTCAGACCCTCGAAATGTAAGACTTGGTTTGGCTACTGATGGGTTCAATCCATTTGCACATATGAATGTAAGTCATAGTATTTGGCCAGTTGTACTCATACCTTACAATCTTCCTCCTTGGATGTGTATGAAGTCAAGCTCATTCATTCTTTCCATGATCATTCCTGGTAAGAGAGCACCAGGAAATGATATAAATGTATATCTACAACCATTGATAGAGGAGTTAAAGGAGTTATGGAACACTGGCGTTAGCACATTTGACTCACATAACAATGAAGTGTTTAATATGCATGCAGCGTTATTGTGGACTATTAGTGACTTTCCTGGTCTTGGAACCTTGTCTGGATGGAATACACATACTGGATTAGCTTGTCCTAGATGCAATTTTGACTCAGAACGGGACGAAAGTTGGCCAAACATCAACATAGAGTTGAAAAATCATCAGACACTACAAGAATTTATGTTTTTAACTGGGGTTATTTAACTGGAGTTATTATAACCCCTGGAAACATAAACACTTACGAGGGTTTTAATAACCCTTATTAAATTATAGGGGTTTGATTTCAAACCCCAGGAAAATGCCAAGTGTTTTTTAGAAACCCAATTAATTAAAATTTTAATTTTTTTATTTCCCTCCAATTATTTCCTTTCCCTCTTAATTTCTTGGAGTATACAGAGACTAATTTTTAGTTTTCTTTTTCTTTTTCACAAGCAAAAATTAAAATTGCAATTACGAGGCTTTTATTTGATAAGGAATTCGAGTTTGGTGAAGGGCTTGTCTGGATTTTTCTTTTTCATAACCCTAGACGCGCATCTTAAACCTTTCCTTGAGGCACTTCTTGCCCTTGAGATCGACGTCAAGCGTGTAGCGTGTAGCGCCTAGCATCTTGGGCCTTTCCATTTGTGCTGATGATGGCTTTCACAACCTGAAGGTAATTTTATTGGTTTGGGCTCTGATTGTGTTATGGTGGTTTTTTGTGGTTGGTGATGAATTTTTGAACGGTTTCAGGAGATTAGAATCGTGGAAATCGTGAAACCAGTTGGTTGGGTTTATATATCGTTGGCTGGATTCGATCGTCGGTGAGTCTGTTTTTCTATTTTGCAATGGAAGGGTTTGTTTGTTGAATGCTTTGCCATCTTGTTTTTTTGTGTCTTTCGCTTAATACTGTTTTTCTCATCATGGATTTTGTTGTAATTTTTAATAAATTTAAGATTGAGTACCTCGACTTGAGTGCAGGAAAAAATTATTCACAGGAACTAAAGGTGGGGCACGCCAAAGCTAGGACTGGAACTCACCAATAGTAGAGTATGTAAATGTGTTTGATTAAATACTCCCTTTTAATTTTTAATAGTATTAATTTTTTTTTTGAAAAGAATAAGATCCAAATAAGTATTAACGTTATATTCACTTACATCAATTTAAGAGTGATAGGCTGGAAACATAAGCAGCAGTTCAGAACTTTTATTGCCTTCTCTTCCTAAGCTTTTGCATGTATTTATAGAATTTATGAACAACCTTTCTGAGCTTCTGCTATCCTTTTGAACTTGTAGCTCGATAGAAGTCTTTATACTGGTCATTTATGGTTTTTTTGGTGAATACATTTGGTCACCTGATTCCTTAGATGAACTTCTTCATATTGAAAACCTCTTGCCTTTAGGAACACAATCCTAGAGACTCAGCCCTTTTACATTTACCTAGGTGCTCTGTCTCTTGTTTTCCCTTTTTTCTTCCTTTCTTTTGTGTTGTCCTTTTTTTATTGAACGTGAATGTCGAACAATCTTGTAGATAGCTTGTTTATAGGCTTGAAATTTGCATCATATTCAAGGAAAAAATGCTCTGGTTTTGCATGAATCTCTTGATTAGGAATGAGAAGAATGTTATGACTATTTAACTCTTATGATGTGAATGTATTTTGGTTCCTAATTCTTGAACTCCCTCAACTTTGACATCTTTATGGTATTTAATGTTTTAATACATTTGGATTTTGAATGATTGGTGGAATTAATATGATGAGAATATTGTTTTATAAGGTTTTGCTTTCTCATACATTGTTTATTGTTTTTATTTGTTATTATATATGAAATTTAATATAATGTGTGCTGCACTTCCAGGTTGCAATTTGCATCACTATAGTATGTAACCTTGCTTGGTCATGTTGCACCAGTGCATTGTGTCATAAATAAAATAACTATATTTTAGCTAATTATTTATTAGTTATTTGACGTTTGTTTGCTATCTTGTGATCAACCTGTATTCATTACATAATCATTGGCTGTTCAAACTCCTTGTATCTTAGTAGAACTTGTTCATTTGTAAGATGATATCGCAGCTTTAAGGCGGCTAATGAATATCTTTGGGCACTTTGATATTATTTTACAAAGTTACAGGTTCAACTAATGCTGTGAAATTATCTTTTTTATGAAAATATTTTGGTAATAGAAATTTAGCATCCATTGACATGAGAATCAATATCTGTCTATCTTCATTATGTTTTAGTTGTGTCTTTTTGCTAAAAGCCTAAAATGAATAGTTCATAGTATAGTTGTAACTGCAAAAGTGTTGTCATATTTTGAAACTCTTAGATTGTGGAGGTTGTACTTCTTGATGTGGGTCATTTAAAGCCTTGTTCTCACCTTTATGGTGTTGTTTATCTTTTAAGTAAGATTTTCCATTTTAGTTTTTAAGGAATAGTCTTAGTTTATGAAATAATATGTTATAAATTTGAAGTTGACTCTAATGCTCACATAAAATATATCTTTAAGTCACTTAACACAAAATGGAGTGAGTATAGACAACAATTATGGCAACAAAGGAATGACGGAACACGTAATAGAGATGAATTAATTGCAATGGGTCCAGAAGGAGTAAATAAAGACCATTGGGCTTCTTTTGTTGACTATCGTTTAAATTCAAGAACAAAGGTAATAAATTATAACTTTTTTTATTAATATTTATGTACTTGGACTTAATTCATCTTTTAATTGTTAGGAAATTTCTGAAAAAAATAAAGATAATAGAAAGAGACAAACACTTCATCACACTGGTGGATCCAAGAGTATTGCACGCAAGAAAGATGAGATGGTAATCTAACACTTTCAATAAAAAAAATTAATTATGCTTTGGTTATGACGTATACACTTCATATATATATATATATATATATATATATATATATATATA